TTTAAAATTGTTCAAACTCTGATTGATGCCCTCTCATTAATTAATGATTTATGCTTCAAATATTTTCAGAACAGCGTCAACAAAATATAATGTAATTAGAGAGTTAATGGGTAGTTCTTTCTTGGTTGAAATACTTGAAAAGATTTGGACTAGTTCAAAATCAGAGAATGTCTCCTTTAGCAATAAAAATGTGCAATCCACTCATTTAAAGTCATTGTGATCTTACTAATATTACTTGCAAAGCTACATGCTTCTGTAACAACATCCCTTGATTAATGCCTGCTTTTATGAATTTCAACATTTCCCTGATGAAGTCATTTTCAAACTTTCTTAATTTTTTTGTATGTCTACATGAAATTGTAAATCAATAGGGTGTTTGTTTGTTATCTGCATACCAGATATTCTTATCATGCATCTACTGTATTTTTCGGAGTATAAGATGCACCGGAATATAAGATGCAGCAAGGTTTTGAAGAGGCTATTTTTTTTAATTTAAAAAAAGGTTTTTTTTATTCTGCAAACTTCCCAAAATGGTCTGTTTTTTACAAAAATGGGCCCAGGGTTTGTTTTTGTTTTTTTGCAAAAAAAGGCATGAATAATCTTTACGGGGCCTGCAGAGTGTTCTTGGGGGGGGTGTCCCCCCCAAAACAAACAAAAAACAGCCCATTTTTTTTGCAAAACAGGCCCATTTTTTGTCAAACAAATTGTATGCATAGTCTTTAGGAGGCTTATAGAGTCCTCCTTGGGGCTGGGGAGGCAAAATTGAGCAAAAACAGGGCCGTTTTTCACTCATTTCTGCCTCCCCAGCCCCTAGGAGCTCTCTGAAAGCCTTCTACAGGCTCTGCGTGGCCATTTTGGTGAAAGGGGGTGGGGCTTCAGGAAGCAAAAAATGCTGTATTCAGTGTATAAGATGCACCCCTATTTTCAGCCTCTTTTTTGAGGGAAAAAGGTGTGTCTTATACTCTGAAAAATACGGTAGTTTTCTCAACCATTGTGGATATTGGTATTGGTATTTACAAGGAATTTACAACTAATTTGGATGTATTGGGTCCAATGGCAATAAAACAAGTTCCAAATGCTGAGAATTATACCTAAATGTTATTTTCTCATAATTGCAAATCCAAAATTATACTCTAATAATGAGATATAGCTAAATGTGCCTAAAGCATGTATCAAAATTAAAAGAGTCTGTTCCACTGAGACTAGAGTTAGTAAGAAATCAAACCAATCTCTAAAGTTAGGATTTCTTAAATGGTCTCATACATCTTAGATAATGTCTTTTATTGCTTCAAAACTGATAGCACCTGTTTTTAGGTATTTGTTGGCCACTCCATTTCTCCTTTCACTCACCAGTGAAGAAGTCACTTTCCCAAAGCTGGGAAACACTGAATCATTTCTCCAGAGTGCCATGTGTGCTAATATCACAACTCAAATCCCAAACAGAATGTGTTTCCTTCCTGTCCAAAGAGTGACTGCAATTAAAGAAGGACATGTGTTGGGAAAAATAGTCATGTGGTAACAGTATATAGTTTTCCTAGAATTTTAGATGACATTTATTGTTAAATAATTCTAACATTCCTTTTCTTTTAACAAATTTAAAGCAATGTTTTGTTTCATGCAATTGTTATTTCTTGAAGTTCTAGACCGAAAACCTCCCTAAGTTCTAGAAATAACTTTGATTTAAATTTGAAGATGACCTCTGAAAACTAAATGAATATTTTTTTTTTCTGCTGAATGGGCTGGTGCTTTCTTCTAGTATAATTTATGGGAGAAATTAGTATGAACGGTTCACTTTTATGGAGCTCTGCTTCTTGTAGCAAGCCTGCAGAAACAATTTCCCCCTAAGCCTCCATCTGTTCTTCAAACCAGGGCATATGCCATCTCATCAAGCTTGAAAGTCAACTGATTTATAACTCCTGAAAACTGCATAGATTGAAAAGAAAGGTCGTATGCTGCTCTGTGACAATGATTTGTTAGGCACTTGGATAAAGACAATTCATATTATTATGGACCTAAGGGGAAAACACACAGTGTTGTAAGCTTAAAGACATGGTAGATTGGCAGCCAGAAGGAAAGCAAATGCCCCTCCTTATTCAGATGAAACAGTTACCTTTTCTCCAAAAGCAGAGTGTGAATAGCAGGTAAGCAGCACCACTGGAGAGACATCTTGTTATCACAGCGGGCTTCAGATCTGAAAGCCTCTTCTCTCCCAGGTGCAATGGTTGCCATCCAGAAATACCCGAGTTTGCTTCACTTTTGTCTTTAAAGGCTACACAGAATTGTCAGCCTGAAAAGAGTTTCCTTTTTTCTTTCTAGGAGTTAAATTTCTCTTCAGTGCCGCTATGGAACATTATGTTTGTTTTTCTCTTGAGGTGAATCCAAAGCCTTGTCCCAGTTAGAAGTGTAATGAAGGATTCAATCTTGGTCCTATTTGGTGGTATTTCTCCTCTCCTCTTATTTCCCCCTCCCCCTTTAAAAAACAAAACTAAAGTAAACAGCTACAGAGAAAGCAGCTTGGCAGGCAACAGACCAAAACAAATTGACAATGTGACTATCAGGAAAATCAATGTGTCACTTGATGTTTTCATTTGTGCTCTTGGTATAGTGTGTTTCTTTTGATGGTGCACTATTATCATGAAAATAAATCCCCTGATCCTTTCAATCCGGTTTAGGGTCCCATCTTTTAGGGAGAGAAAAAAAGGGCACATCTTCTAGCTTGTTCCCAAACCAAATAAACTCATATTCATGCAGATTAAAAAAATGTTAAGTGGAAGTAAGTCACCCCAAAAATATTCTGTACAGAGAATATTCAGTCCCTGTTTGGACAACTTGCTGGGTCATGGAGATAATTCCAGAGCTAAGTTAATCAACTCAGCCAGTTAAACCATAGGTCAAAGTATTATTCCTGCAAGAAATTTAGAAAAAATTCAAATTATTCAAATAAGTGTTTTTTTTTCAAATTAGCCAGTCTTTAAGTGTTCCTCTTTGTTTATATAGTGGTTTTAAAGCTATAGGACAGTGATGGCTAACCTTTTTTGGATCACGTGCCAAAAGTGGGGGGAGCGCAGGGGGGTCATGCCCTGGCGTGCCCACATCGATAATGCCTTGTGCCTGATATCCCCCCATGCATCTGCATGCAACCAGCACTCCCCTCACTTTTGGCATGATTTTTCATCCTCCCCAGGCTCCAAAGGCTTTCTAGGAGCCTTGATAGGGTGAAAACAGCCTCCCACCCCTGAAGGCCCTCCGGAGGCTTCAGTTGCTTCCCTGAAGGCTCCTGAGGGCAAAAAGCATCCTATAAGCAAACCGTAAGTCCATTTCCAAACTTACGGTTTGCCTGTAGGGCTGGTTTTTCATGCTCCAGAGGCTTAAAAAAACGGCCCTAAGGCAGAAGTCAGTGGCCAGTGCATGCATGCGCATCCTGGAACTGACAGGACAACACCTCACATGCCCTAACAAATGGCTCTGTGTGCCACTTGTGGCATGCATGCCATATGTTCTCCATCACGGCTATAGGACTCATTTGAAAAATTTAAAACTCATCAGGTGGTTCTGACCAACTTGAAGAGAATGTTTTAAAAGATTTTAACTTTGCCTTACCAATCAAATCTTGTAGTCTATATGATTTGTTATATTTCCATTGAGTTAACCTTTGTTATACTTTCCCCTTCATGAAAATAAATATAGGTAGTCCACGACTTACCATCATAGTTGAGCCCAAAATTTCTCCTATTAGATATTTGTTAGACGAATTTTGTGAGTTATTCTTTCAAGTGCTAAGAAGCAAAATAGTATTTTTGTAGGACTGAGGCCCCCCCCCGATTCAGTGGGCTACAAGGAGGAGGAAAATTAAGGCAGAATCAGGCTTGCAAGATTGTTATTATGTGTATAAATTATCTGGTGTAGTCTACTTAGTAGGCCTGACAACATTCAAGATATTGAATACTGATTTTATCTAAGGTGACCAGATTTTCAGATTGGTAAAGAGGGATACCATTGACCGGGGGGGGGGGGGGGGCGGGCTTGATTAAAAATTTTATATTTTGTCAAAAGCTCACAAAAGGCGATTAATGACCCCAGGACACTGAAACCATC